AGAAGACTATGCTTATAAAAGTCAAACTTGCAAAAGTTAGGAAATGCCAAAATTAATGTCTGCACAAATTGATCGATATGCAACCTTAGTTTGGTTCCTTCTGCTAAAAGAGCAGTAATATAACATTATTAATATAATAGGCATGAATTCAGTAAATCCTATAATAGAGTAGTCTCTGTTGCAGCATCCTAACTTTTTTTTTGCCTTTTTCTACCCCAGCTGCACATTTAGCAGTAGTTTTCATCGAAATAAAGTACATTAGGACATGGCTCCTTCCATTGATTTCCCCGCCTCCTCGTATATTTATAGCCTTTCCTGATTCGCTTGTGCTTTCAGTATATCTTGCTTTGTCTCAGCATTTTAAATTTGACTTTTAAAAATATATATATTATAAAGAGTTCTCTGGGTGTCATCACCAAATTTTTGTCTGTCTTTGTGTTGTGCAGCAAGCTGTGTTTCTTACTACTGCTGCCCATATATACAGTTTTGTATCTTTGATGCCATATATTCTCATACATGGCATGCCCCTCCCCCCGGGCTATAATACACACATTGTTTTAGAAAGCTTGAAGAAAATAGATCTTTCAGGTAGAAGCTGGCCACGTCTACACAAGACACTTACTGCGCAGTTGACTAATTAACTGCACAGTAAATGTCACAAGGTCTAAATGTGCACCCCTGTTAGACTTCTCTTCAAGTTCTAACCTGCTGTGGAGTTTTTCATGCACAGCAACACACCTATAGATGCTGCCCTGGCTGGCTGAAGCACAGGATGCTTCAGCATGGGACTAGCTGGCAGGCGGGCTCTGCGGTAAAGCACCCTTGTGCCCCAGCCAGTCACTCTGCAGCACGTAAAGCCCCATCAGAGCAACCAGCCCAGGACTGTTCCGACAGAGTGCCACGTGCTGCGGAGCGGCTGGGTGCAGCATGCGGATGCTTCAGCATAGAGGCTAGCCCTGCAGTGAAGCATCATCATGTTTCAACCAGCCTCTCTGCAGCTTGTAGAGCCCCATCAAAGCAGCCCTGGGCTGGCAGGCTGACCTCCTGTGTTCCCTGCCAGCCCAAGCTGCTTCAACTGGGCTCCATGTGCTGCACACAAATAAACTCCAGAGCAACTTGCTCTGGAGCTTTTTGCTCCCAACACACTTTCAAACAGCATGCCCAGGAACAAAAAAACTCTGGAGCAACAAGCTCCATAGTTTATCCGTGCATATTTAATCACACGTGTTGATGTTCCCACAAAGTACTGGCAACTAGAGGTGAACCTGCTATGTGAGATGGGAACAAAAAGCTGATCTACTGTGACCTACCATATCATCCAGTTGGGAGCTCCCCAGGGGTTTAGAAATTTAGTGTTGGGGGAGCAGGGGCAGAGTTAATCGATGTAGGTCCCAGAGCTGAGACAGTTAATGCTGCCATCACTCCCCTGCCACCAAATGTCTAAACCTGTGGAGATCAATTTTTCGCACATACCATGTGTGCTCCAATTTTCACCAGCTGTTTTTTGCGGGGAAAAGGTGCAGGTCATATGTGAGAACACAATATTACAGGTCCCAGTCAGTGCTATAATTGCCCTGCATGTTGTGTCTGCATGAGTGAATTCTTGCACCTGTTTTCAGCACCATTGGGAGCTGAAACTCTTCTCAAGCTCAGGGTCTGTGTTTATGGATCAAATGCAAAACTGGAGGCCGTAGTGAAATCCTTTGGGACCATTTCATCTGAAGTATGCTGCATACTGTTATAAGTGAAAATGCCAAAGCTGTGAGAAAACACAGATTGGCTAGTTTTGTACAGATTAAACCTCAGTGGGCTCTGTTTTTTAACAAGTTTAATACATTACCTTATAGAGCAGTGGTTCTCAACCTTTTACCCTCAAGGCACCCCTCCATAACTTTTCCTGAACTTAGTGGAACTGCCACTGAGCTACAACCTATCTGGTGCCAGGTGAGGGCAGCAGGGGCAGGACGTCACCCTGCCATGCCCTTTTAACTCTTTTTCCCCTCCTGGTCTGCAGTCTATATGAAGAGCAAGACACAGCCCCTGCCACTGAGGCTCTCGCGTATTGGCTACTGGAGCCACCTGTTCCTGCAGCCCCTTCTGCTGGCCTCGAGAATTCGGGGGGGAGCGGAGCCAGGTTGAAAACATGGCTCCATGGCCTCAAGTCCACCCGCCTGCCTGTCTGTCTGTGACAGCATGCTGCTCAGAGCATGGGGATAGCCAGCATGGGGACTGCCAGGGTAGGGGAAGGGAGAGCTGTGGGAGGGTAGAGTTAGCCAAGGGGTGCTGAGTGGAAGGAGAAGGAGAGCGCTTATCTTCTTGCATAGGGACGAGGCACTTAAGGATCTTGTGGTGCATCAGGACAAATCAGTTGAGAATCACTGTTCTAGGGTGAAAGACTTGACTCATATTTTTATTTAAGACTTTTTTACAGAGTTATAAAGAAGCTTTGTTTCTTGGTAATCAGAGATTAAACTTTTTTCTGTCTGTATTATTGACATTTTTTATTCCTTTTGGGTTATTTGGAGATTAATTGCTTGCACTATTAGTATATTAGTACTCCAAATCTGTAGCTACTTAAAAAAAATAGTATGTATTTAAGCATATGAACTCATTACATTGATTTCTGACCTCAGGCTATAATCTATTTGAGGGTTTAATGGAAATTATAGATTCACGTCCTCTTGAAAGCTCAGATCAAGTGTAATATCTACTTTAAGGCAACTGTTAATGGGGCAAAGTTTCTGCTTAGATTCCTTTTCCTACTTTTTTTGTCTTTAATGCTCAAAAGAGATACAAAACTTTAAAATAATTATTTCTGATTAGTGTTTGATCTATAAACAGAATTTTTATTAGCATGGAGTGGTTCAAGGGGAGAATGTTTTAAAAGGTAGGGCCTCTGCAACCTAAAAATTATAAATGCAATCTTTTTTCTGATTTAGTTATGTTAGCTGTAACATTTGAAACTATTTCCAATATCAGGACTAAGCATTGTCAGATTTGATTAAGCAGTTCCATGTGGCTTCAATACAGGCCCCGCATTTAAATTTTTTAGAGCTTTGCTTAGGCTTCTGAAGTACAACTAATGCACAGAAAAACTTTTTATTGAATCTGGAGCTGTTTGCTGAAAGGAAGTGTCATTGGAAAGAAAGCTGAAACTGATGAAGGTTTAGGGACATATTCTACCTTGGAAATCCTTGACTTCAGAAAGGAGGAAATATAGTTAAAGTACAGAAATGTGCCCCATAGCTTGCTATCTTTCAGGCAGAAGTTTGATGGGTTGTTTTTTTTCAATTGTGCGAGCCAGTGCAGAGTGGTGGAGAAGCCAATGGATTCTTGTTGTAGCTGATTTATTGACCAGTGCCCACCTTTTAATTGGTATACATTAATTAACTCTGAGGACCACAGCAAGTCCCATATTTTGGGACAGGGTTTGGAGTGGTTCTAGTAACTCTTCTGGCTTTGAAGGGAAAATTCTTATAGAACACCTTCGTGCACAGCCCTTTTACTTGGCCTTTTCATTATACTTAGGAACAGGCCTTTCTCATTCAGATCCCTACAGGTCTAAAGTAGCTGCTCTACATTTCACTTATTTACTTAGTAACTTCATTCCCAGAGTCCAAAATTCATTTGGGAACTATTCCATAAGTTCTTTTGGCAAGCATGTGATAACAGATGGAAATATTTTAAGCTCTCATAGCTGTTCAGCGCAACCTGGACCAGACTGGAAACAAGATAAAAAGAGATGATGTCGTGCAGCCTAAGCACAATTGAAACAGATGAGCTGAATTTTTTTAATAACAAGAAGGTACAGAGCACAAGGGGAAATGTCCCAAATATTTCTAGAAAAACTAAATAAATAATTTTAATTCCTTTTTTAAAAACTGCAGAAAACATGCCTGTTCAGCTCTGATATTGGAGCTCCTTTTTTCTGTGTAGCAGTCTGACCTCTTTTACAAGTTAAACAAACTTTGCCCGTGAAATTTGCTAAACTGCCTGATATATTATTTTTGACTACATCTTAGAAGAGTGTACCTATTCCCAGTTCTAAGAGGAAAAATAATAAAGTAGGTCTTTAAAAATAAGTGTAGGGCATGAAAACTAAACAAAAATATTGCACCAACTATTGGAATGTTAATATTGCTTGATAGAAATACAGTAAGCAGTGACTGCCCTAAACACTAGCAGTCATTCCAAATCCCTGCTTTTTGCAAATTGGAAGGTAGCAATACAAGTCAGTCATATGAGATCATTTTTCAGTCCCCAAAAATCTAGGATAGAGGGTTTATTTTACATGAGGGACTTGGAACAAGTAGTAATTTAGATGAGGTGATATTACTGCTAGAAAGGCTGTTGCCATACTTTCTTGTATACCCTGTGTCCCTGAATAAGACATGTACCTTGTTTTTTTGGACAGCAAGGACCAGCAGGACTCTAGAAAAATCTTTTATTTTTCCTACATTCGCCCTTCCAAAAACAAGATGCATGTTTTATTTGGAAGGGTATGTTGTATACTGTATTTTTTTGCTTTTAATTTCTGCAACTGATATTTCTTCTCTAAACAGCATAGCAGTTCAGACATCATATTTAGTATGTGATTTCATTGATCACTCTTTTCCAAAGTTTTTAAAGTTATAACACCTTTGTCACTTATCAGTTTCTCTGTTCAGTTAATTCTTTTGAAAGAAGCCATGTATGTGATATAATTGACTTCTGTATTTTGATCAATGAAGTATTTGGTAGAGATCTTACTGAATTTTACCCCTCACGTAACACCATTCGAAGTTCCTTCCACACGTAAGTTTTAGAAGGCTGAAATGTTTACGATGTAGGTAAAATATGTACTTGTATATAGATTTGTCCAATAGCTTGTATATGTATGCAGATGAAGGACTTTGTTTGCCATAGAATTGTTGTCACCTTCAACACATTGGTAAAGTACAGTAGTTGAATCTACAGGTCCTTTCATGTTCAATACCATTTTTTTTTTGTTCTTTATGCAGGAGCCCTTACCAAAGTAAAGGAAAGTAAGCGGCATGTTGAAGAAGGGAAGATGGAGGTCCAGAAGGCTGAGGGTATTCAAGAACGTTGTAACATTATTTCTTTTGCAACTCTTGCAGAAATTAATCATTTCCACAAAATTCGAGTACGGGACTTTAAATCACAGATGCAACATTTCTTACAACAGCAAATACTTTTTTTCCAAAAAGTGACACAAAAATTAGAAGAAGCGCTTCATAAGTATGACAATGTTTAATTGCTGAACTTTGAATAGTGAACTTTCTTTGGTATGAATATGATTGAAGCAGCAGAGTAAATATCACTGCTGTTGAAGAACTATTGCCAGCTCTTGGTGGTGGTACAAGGATGGTTTTGTGTTCACCTGGAATCCCAGCTGAATCTCTAATTATGTAGGAAGGAAACAGTTAATATGGCTATGTAGTAGAAACAGTACCACACATTGTAACTAAGTATACTGTGTATGCATACACTACCATTGTAACTTTTCTGAAATAATGATTATACTATTTGCCTTATTGCTTTTTGAAGTATGGTATTTTAGTGCATACTTTGTAGACCTCAAAACCCTTTGGGTCTTTAAGGAAGCTGGCTAGATAAAAGCCTGCTTCAGATGCCTTTTGACTCTCCTCCATTTGGATTTCCTAAATTCAAACAATTCTCTGTTTACAGCCTCCTACTAGAGCAGCTATGCGACTTTGTGCCTTTAGACTCTAGGTTTTTTTCCTTTTCTAGCAAGCCACATTTTTATGATTGATTGAATGAACGAAGGGTTAGTGTCTATGACAGAAACTGATTATGAAACCTCATACTGACTGAAAAAAATGAGTTGCCATCCAATTTGCACAGCAACTATTGTCTTATGAAAAATATTGGCTAAAAAAGGAGGATTCAAAATCATGTAATGTTTTCCAAGACCTTAAAATGAAAATTTTATTACATGTACCAGAATCTTAAACACACATGCAAAAATACAGTACCAGTGAATTCCCTTTCTGGATAGGATAACACAGTGAATGGTTTATTCTATAATACATTATTATGAATGGAGAATTGGAAAACTGTCCTAATAAAAGCAGAGCATTGAAATATATTGAGGGGATGCAAATACAGGCTCGCTAGCATTTGTTTGTGCATTATTTCAGTTGGAGAAGATTTGCTCATTGTTTAGCTGTTGGTTCAGTGTGAATGCAAACACGGACCTGCATTGTCAGTTGATTGAATTGAGACTCCACTGTGATTCACTTGTTTACTAAGTCACAAATTTTCAGGGATGTTCCATGGTATAAATGGTTCAAAATCAGTCTTGACTGAACCGACTAGAAAATAAGTATTTGTTATATTTATAACACACAAGTAGAAATTAACAGTTGTCTTTTTTTTAATACAAGGATTTTTGACAAGTCAAGTAGGTGTATATAGACCAAAAGACTGTCTTTAAAACAAAAAACAAAAAAAAAAAAGGAAAGAATAAACGATTCTCTGCTCTAAACCAAGGGAAATAAGTCTAAACTCTATCCTTTTAGCCTATAAGTTTACTGTTCTGTATGCTTCTTATGAAAAAGGGTTTTACTTATCCTCCAAAAAGCCCTCCTGGTAAAAAGAATATTTAACATAACAAAGAGCTACCTTAAACAAAAGCTAGGAAACTGGAAATTAAAAGGGTATAGTAGAGTGAGAACTATTACCCATTTTGTTTACAAATTCATCATTGGATTTATTGGATCATGGCAACTTCTGTAGGTTAAAGAAGCTCTACCACTTCATTTGGGAAGAATAAGCAAACAAGGATTCACTTGCATGGTGGTTAACCAAAGCTATTGCAAGAGCTTGCTGATAGCAGTGCTACTGATATACAGGCAATGAAGTGAAACACAAAATTACCAAAAGAGAAAAAAATCAGTGTTTCCTAAAAGAAAAAGGACAATCAATAAGAAAAGAAACTGTTCACAAACAAACAAACAAAAAAGAATATTGAAACTAATGTAGAGGAAATTAAGTACATGGCAGTTATAATGCTGATTTACCATTCTTAACCTTCAATGTGTCTTACTATAGGTCTTTGAACCATAGCTGATCTTGCTTCCCATATACAGTTTAAGTACTTATAGCAGTGGTGGTAATTAGGTTTGAAATCTCAGCCTTTTCTCCATATTTCTTGGCTTATATTTGGCTAAACCAGCCACAGTTTTAATTGATTTCTTTATCCTAATTATAACAGACAGCAATCAAATTAATTCTACTTGGGACAGTTAAGACCTCTTCAGAATATTTTCTTGATCCAGTTAAAGCATTTTTAGGAGGTTAATTTTATTGAAATGTTCATATGCAAGGGAAAAAAAAATAAGCTGTGATATGTATACCATAAAGCATTATCAGAAAGGTACAGTTTTCTAAAATAAACTGTCATGGCCTTCATCTCAGTTTTCTCATTTGTCTATTTTTGGGGATATTTCGATTTGTTAAATTTGATTCACTAAAGCAAACTTCCAGACTTTCAAAAGTTTCACACCTAGGACCATAGTTTGTGGCTTTGTCCCATTTTTATGATGAACTCTTTCTAATGTATTAGTTGTAGGTAGGCAAGAAATAGAATTTCTTGGAAATAGCTTGGTTAGCTAGGATTTCCTAGGTTTTACTCTTTAAAAAATGATTCCTACATTGGAAAAAGAAAAAGGAAAAATGCACTGAATACTTACTGTGTAATGTGAGAAATCCAAATTGAGTTTAATATAAAATATTCTCTCAGTGAAGAACTAATGTACAGTAAAAGCTGAGTTATCCGGCACCTTACAAGCCGGCATGCTCTGTTAACCGGCATGCCAGCTTGTAAGGGAAAAGTGAAACCAGAAGTGCCCACCCTGGCACTTCCAGTTTCATGAAGCCCTCACAGCCCATGGGAAAGCAGCCTGGGCGGGTCCCCCCTCCCTGTCCCTCAGGGCCCACAGGAGGGGTGGCGATGTGGTGGGAGAGGCGGCGACACCCCAGATGTGGCGGGACAGCGGCAGCCCAAACAGGCAAAGATGCCTGTTCGGGCCACTCAGTTAACCGGCATATTTTGTTACCCGGCACCCTCCATTCCCCGTGGGTGCCAGATAACAAAGCTTTTACTGTGCTGAATTTCCATCATCCCAAATCTCTGAATACTGAAGGATATGGTTTAGGTCTCAAAATACTTCACAGGAAGATAGATCTAATTTGTATGGCAACTGTGGTGTATCAAACTTGAAATTTTGCAGCAGCTTCTTTGTTAATCAAAGAGAGTTAAACGTTTTCAGTGAATCAAATGCAGAAGAGAACAATTGAAGTAACTCCGGTTCAGTTCAGTGTTACATTCCTTTTATTTTATACCATTCCTGCATTTTACCTGTTTAAAATGATTAGGGCAATTGATTCTCAGTGCTGTTGTTTCAGGATACCTGCACAGTCAACAAGACAACTATGTTGGTTTATAGACCCTCTGTACCTTTTTTAGGTTTTGTTTGTAAGGATCATGGAATACAGTAAGTTTGACAGGAGTGTTGCACGGCCCAGTTTTGCAGAGGCAAGTAAGAAAGGTGTCTGATGACAAAGTACACAGATGGCTTAGAAGAATGAAGAAAGAATTAAATAACCTTTACAGTTGCTTTAGCTGTCAAACTCAAAGTAGATCTAGGTTGGAGCTACTCTGGTAACCCTTCAGCAGAATTTCAGGAAACATTGTTGTGATGAAAGGTTGTTCTATATAAAATTGGATATTTTTAGAACATGTTAAATATGTTGATTACCCGTAAACTATTTTAAAATATTTTTGATAAGTGATACAGATAATGTTACTCATTGCATTCTGTGTCCTTATTTGAAATATTATTATAATTTTGTCAAGCTTTAACTGTGGGGGTCTTCCCAGTCTACTTTTTTTTAGAATTGCATAGACTGATGGCCACTTTTCAAAATGAGGGTAAGGGAAAATGTGTTGTTTTGCCCATGTTCAAATATTCTTTAAAAAGTTAGTTGAAAAGCTCCTGTGCCTCCACGCTTTGGAGCAGGTACTTGAAATTTGGCAGCAGTATAGTTCTTGCTGTTTGTATAAACATCTGCTGAAATGTTGCCAAGTTAAGAGTTCTTTTGTAAATTATGGTTTGCCTATGCTCAAATTTATTTGAATTTGGCAACTAAATTTCTGAAGATTGCATTTTACGTGTTTTGCTTTTTCCACCCTAGTCTTCAGGGGCTAAGTTTTCTCTCAGTTGTTCCCTCCATCATAGGACCTGAGGGTAAAACGACAGTCCTGTGATCCCTGCAGATCTGGAATGCAGAGACATAGTAGTAGGGTGGGCAGTTTTAGCACTTTGGGTTGATGGGAGGAGAAGCTGATAGGTGAGCAGAAGACTAGGATGAGGACTGGCTAGAAGGCTCTATTCAGAAAAGACTGGAACAGAAACATCTCACTATTGACATACATTCCCCTCACCTTAATTAGACTCAAGATTGAGCGTAAATATTATCTTGCTCTCAGCAAATAGCCACAAAAATAACTGGCAAAAATTGCAACCTTTCCACTAGAGAGCTATTTTATACAACCCGCTGTCTCCCGCATTGTTGGTTACTGTTGGCTCAAGTGCCAAAGGTCTAGGAGGTTCATCTAACATAGTGCTCTCCAACCTATCCAGAAAGCCACTCTTAGCCTTTCTGGATTGGACAGGATATAAATTTAAACTCTGTTTTGATTTATAGATAATGTCACCCAACATAGTTTGTGACCCCCAAAAAATAAAATAAACCTGAGATCCACAGCAAGATCAAATAAGATTAACATGTAGCATGTTTCTTGTTCACTATTCTTGCCAGTGGACCAGTAGAGTTTAGGGACCACTTATCTAAACATTCTAGCACTGCTGTTGGATCCAGTATGTTCAGCTAGCTTGACCTTCTGCATAACAGGCTGTAGAATGCAATTATATGATAGTCAGTATGATTTTCATGTGTTGGCATTTTTTTTAAATATAGGAAATTAAGTACAAAAAGCCCAGGGAGAAAAAAACTAATGCAACGATTGCAGTCAGGCCCTCAAAAAATAACAGAACTAAAAGTTGTTTGTACAGCTTACGTTTATGATCTTTAATTGCATGATCAAGTAATTTCCCCCTTCTCCCCCACCACAGGACCCCTGCCCCATTTGGTGCACAGGGTGACCACTGCTCTCCCAAGTTAATCAGGGGGAAATCATTAATGAAGCTGTTGTTTGTAGAACATTACTTCATTTATTGCAGAAGTTAAAAGGGATGTACTGACTGAGGGGGGGGAAAGGGAAGTTCTCATCACTTGGGTATTTGAAATCCACCCTGGAAAACTAGATTCAATCCCTGTCTCTGATAGTTTTGCTATATGATACGAATTGCGCAAAACAGACTTTTCACAGCTGACCACTAATGGTGCATCCTTCATTTTCTGAGCGTCTGAGCTAATATGTTTAGGCTGATTTGCGGAAGTGCTGAGCTAGCTGTACTTCTTTAAAGCTATGCTTCTGCAAAGCTGAGCTGTGCTTCTACGTAGCTAAACACACACAATGCTATAAATTGTTAAGTGCTCTGAAAAACCATCACTTGAGCTCCTCAAATCAAGCACCCAAAATCACAGTATACTTTTGAGCTTAATTTCTCTGTTACCTCAGCTCCCTGTTTGTAAAATGGAGATGATAATGCCAGCTCACTCAGAGGTGTTGTGAAGATAATTTTATTGAAGCCTATGAAACCTACTGACATAAGCATCATTTAAAAGCAAAAGGAAATTTGTGATCCAGTTTTCAGAATAGGATTTGAATGGTGTGTAGCAAATAAGGAATGGGGGGACACAGATTGAACAGTGAGAATAAAACAAAACAATCCTATCTTCTCATCAAGTGAGCACCATCCATTGTGTGTCCTGTTTTTGTTCATGCAGTTAGAATATATTAAGAAGTATGCACAGGAGTGCAAGATTAAGTTTTCAAGGACAACCATAATTTTGGCACTTCTTAAATTTGAGTGATTGACTTTGCAATCTTAATTTTTTATATGATACAGCTTATTAGGACAAAATGATATATAGTCAATAGAAAGATGATATTAAACATCTAATAGAAATAGTGTGTATTATCAATATATCAGTATATTTATTTAAAATTAGTTAAAGAAAGTGGGAAAAAATTAAAAGGCGTGGAAGGTACTTGGATGAAGGTGTCTCTGATTGCAACAGTAGAATTGCTCTGTTATTTTTCTGTAGTCAAAACACAAGTCAAAGTTAAGAGCTGTCATTTCTGAAGGGCCCTTTGAGTCCAACAAGGCTTAGAACCACACATATAGAGCAAACGGATAACGTGGTGCTTCAGAAGAGATGGTGATGGACAGAAACTTCTGGAAAATGAGCATTTATTTCTGGACATCTTCGCTGCTTTGGCCAAGGGGACCTTTCTCATTTGACAGTTCTCCAGCCACCTCCACATCATTTGCCATGTACATATAATAAGACACTTCTCGTTTCTTATTGTCATTTTCATGCAATTTAGAGAATCTTGCTACTCGCACCCATTGCACAAACATTTAACACCAAAGGATCTCATTTTGTTCCTATTTGAAATAGATGGGAATTTTCTCACCGACTCGAGTCAGAAGAAAAATTAGTTAGTTAGCCAAATTACATCTGTCAATCTGAACAGAATTCAATCCATAGTATTCTCGGTTCACTAATTAATGCCTGAGTCTTAAATGCAGAATGAAATAATTCCCCACCAAAAAAGCTTTCCCCCCATAATTATATTGAAAATTAACACTATTTTTATTTGTCTTGGGGATTGTAAAATTACTGTTTGGAAAGGGGAAAAAAAAGCCAAGGAAACACATTTTTCTTACTGGCTTTAACTTGAAATAGTTTTTCTGGGACTGTGTTCTGGTTTAAAGAATGTGAAAGCATTGGTTTTCTCTGAAGATAAATTTAGGAATGACTCCTCATTCTAATCTTTTCCTTATTGATTTATGAAATTGACATTAACAGTATATGCCATTTATTTACAAAAATAAATATTCCTATGCTAGGAAACGGTAAATAATAGATCATAGGTTGGAAAAAAGATTCACTGGCATGAGTTGAGATGGCTGCCTTTCTCCAAATTAATGAACGTTCCCCTCACAGAATTTTCTCCAGACAATTGTGCGCGCAGCTGGTGGTGGTTGTGGGTTTCTACCTCCATTCATTCATCTGAAGACTTGTAGGTGTTCCAGTTCCAGCTGGGAGCAACCTGTCTGCTTGGGACTTTGCACTAACTACAGGAGTCTCTGAGAATTAAATGCATGAGCAGATGTAACATTGAAGCCCCTCATTTTTAGGTGCTTTGCTGTGGTAGTTGAATCTAGAACTCCAAGGGGAGTTGGGGAAGCAACCCTCAGCCATCATGCTGAGCA